ACAGTAAGAAAAAAAAGGAGGGCGACTACTGAACCGCCCAAAAGGGGGGGGGTGGCACGGGTTCGACGGAAATCCTAACTAATGATATGCCCTGATGGGGCCGCTTAGATCTGACGCAGCAAATGGCGTTTCCGTCAAATTTTTCCCCACCCCCAAAAGTTGTCTTAGAATGTACTTGAAGCTCTTCAACTGAGCCTACTTTTGGACACAAATCAATGGAACTTCCATGCTACCAAATTAATTAATCCTCCAGAAACCTCCACAGAAAACGTCCGCACAGACATCGTGAGAGCCAACAGTCGTCTGACTCCTACGACCTTCACATTCCCAGCGGGGTGCTGACCATATAATATTTTGGATCTAAAACAGACCCCGTTTCACATTCCTTAGGTTTAACTTCCACCATTTCTTATTTATGGGGCTTTTTTGTCGTTGAGCAGGAAATTGTGCCATGATGTGTTCACATCAGGAAGTCAGCCACTAACGAAAATGGGCTATTTCTAGAGTTGAAACTCCTCGCGCTGAAATTGTGTCTTCGGGCAAAATCTTCTCCAAGCAGAATTTTGGCTTACTGCTGCTACATAATGATACCAGGATCGTTCAAAATATTCTCGGTATCGGGTTAATTTAGCACTGACGAAAGAATTCGAATTATTTCAATAAGTAAAGACACCCCCTAAGGATATAAATATGAATTTTCGCTCAGCTATCATCAGTGCTATCCTAGTTATCTTTTGTGAAAGGGCCAGAATCATTGATGACAATGTTGAGAAATTGATTAATGATTTCAAAAAATTGAGAAAAATGAAAAGAAAATTGAGAAAATGAAATGAAAAGGGAGAAAATGATTAGTGATTACTTCTTGTTCCCCATCCTTTAAAAAATCTTCTTGGATAGCGTTTTTTTTAACAATGAGGAGCAGTAAGCGGCAATAAACGCACATTTTGGGGACAGGAAGGAGACGTTTTTCAGAGGGTGAAACTTCACTGCCCTCTGCTCTTCCTTACTCCTATAGCCCTCCCCGTCCCTCACTCTCAGAATTTTGCCTTCGAATATGAGACGAAACAAGGATTTAAAGGCTCTCTGGCAAAGATTGAAAGCTCGGGATCGGTATTCTGTAGTATTTTCTGCCGGCATCTCAAGTAGAGGAGAATTGACATGAAGAGGAGACGGGAGTATAGTAATGAATTTGGTCCTTCTGAATTTTCTGATTAGCTTTTCGGTTTCACCTTTTATAGTCCCTGCTCTGCTTTTTTTCGTTGAGTACTTGTATTTTGAGAAACAAAGACAAGAAAGTGAGTGACTTCTAGTCCATCACTTCAGAACTGATCCTTTTCTTGTATGCCACACATCCTACAAAATTTGATCATTGCTATGATGCAGCTTAGGTTGGAGTAACAACTAGTTAAAAAGTTCTCCCCAAAGTCTCTAGTTCGCACGTAACCATTAGTTTTACTTCCGATGCAGACTTGAAAATGAGGGCTCCAACGCTGTCATAAGAGCATCGCTGCACGTCGGGCATGAACTAACCTTTCACCGTGTTCGAATAGCTCTGTCGAGTAAAACGAGTGTAAGGTCATCTGTTGGAGCCCCTCCGATGACGCCGAAACTGAATCTTCTTTTCTGATATGACATACAATTAATGACGTTCTTTCTGGCTCAAGTATGGCGGGATGCCGACCTGCGACGGGAACGCAGGGAGCGATCTTAATTCGGTCCGCACGAATCCTATCACTGCTGATGAGCCGCATTCGCTATTCCAAGATTTCGATTTGTGGCCAAAGTCTGACGGTGACGATAGAGGAAACAGGAACGGTGGTGTCAAAAAACCTGCTGCTCAGCCTCATGCAGTTTCGGTCTCGTTCGCTGCAGATCATGGGGCGTGTCAGCGCGACTGTGTTTTGGCACGCCGCCATGCCCCTGTGCCACAGTGCTGAAGTGGGTAAGCGAAAATATCCTGAACAAACGACTGATCGTCTGATGATGAGCAGCCTTGTCGCTTGAGAGAGATAAAAAAATTGGTGGCGAAAGAAAAAAGGAAGAAAAGCGGGTTTGCACCGCACTATCGCAGCTGAGCTGCCGCGCCCCATCATGCGCAAGGAACGAGACTATGTAATATCGGACAAACGCATGCCTCGTTAGGTTCAAGCCAAATGCGTGACCCATGCGTCAACTTTCAGTACTTTTGTGTCAACCTAGAAAACCAGTTTATTGAAAGCGAATTCTTCGACAACAAATTCTTTCTTACATATATTCACATGCATCCGACATGGAGCACAACCATTATTCAGTAAGGAGAGACGATCTGTCAGGGCTAGCGCCAATATTCCCCAGTCTTCCCCATATTTCAACACGTCTACACTTTCTCTTTTGATTTCTGCTCTTCTTGAGAATCACTGCAGTTTTTTCTCAACTTTTTGACTTTCAGGGCGCCCTTCGTGTAACACCACGCTATGCTGTGCTGAAACTTCAACCGGATTCCGACTGTGTGGCCTTGTTTCAATTTGCGGTCAGTTTCGAGCACTTAGAGTTTCTTATTGGTGGCAGGAATGGTAATCATTGAGATTTCCTAATTCTCGAAGGAATTTGTGAACTACCTCCGTCATTACTGACCACTGAAGAATACCAGACTGTCAAGCACTTTAGTAGGTGCGTAGGCGAGCGCAGCTGCTCCTACGCAACGCCCTCTACCTTTCCCGGAAACTGTTTTCTCCAGAAGATCCGGTAATCCACAATCTCTTAAAGTATTGGGTGCAGTTTGCAGTTTTAGCATAGTATTTCACTATGTGATAACTTTCCAAGCCATTCCTCTAATTTATGCTTCACCCACTAGGAAGTCCAACACATCCTAGATTTTACAAAAATTTTATTTGATTTTTAAGTATGTCTTTTCTCACCGTTCTGCACTTTCACTTTGCAGACCTGCTGACTATGTATATGCGCTTGGCACCGCCCCAGACGACAACGCCCACTGTTCAAAATACTCATTCAAGGTGCTTCCTGACCGGTGTTTCTAACCTATTCCATGCAGTTTCAATTTGGATGCGTTCCTCATTGAAACTCCTTCATCATTGACGATGCTGTCATTGTCAGGCTTACCTTGAGGACAGTCTGTACATTCACCCTTCCATGTGCGAACCGAACGGGTCCGCAGCTACAGTAGCGCGTATTTTTCTCCGGTCAAAAGGGCTCGGAAACGAGGCTAAAGGGTAGGGATACAGGCGCCGTCTCCCAACTTCGCTCGCGCTATCATGAAGGTGTAACGCTTGCGTCCAAAAATCCCGCAGCGAAAACGCAGTCGCCGTTGGAGAACATCTAGAAGTCTGAATACATGGGAGGGCGCAGACAAATAGCGCGCTAAGCTATGCTCAGGTGTGTGGCTCGTCGTGCCATCGCGCGGGCAGTTGTCCTCAGCACCGCCACTCTCCATTCCTGTTCTCATTTGAGTGGAGGAAGTGGCAGAGTTTATCTTTAAAACTAGATGTTGTTCAACACTGAGTTGCAGGACGTCCCGTTGAATCATGCACTTTTCCGTGGGGATACTTCCTGTCAGGCTGTGGTTCTAGGCGGAGCTTACCTACTCTCACGAACTTTTGTTCTTTTTTTTCTCCAACACCACAATCTACATTGTCTGTCTGCGCTTGCATTTCTCTTTTCAGAACCCTGCACTTCCATTTACATTGTCTCCCTGGTAGACTTCGTCACTTTCAGTGCAACTCTAGAAAATAGTCGTCACGATGCAATTGCTTTTTTGGAAACCTGTGCTAGGATCAGCGAAAGCACATTTTTAATTCCTTCATATCGGTTGGAGCGTTGTCAGGACAGTAAGAGTGAATGGCACCTGATTTAAGCCCGAGTTCTCAGCCTTTTTTGTGGAAAACGGCGTATGCAGACAAAAAAGTTGGTAGAAAACGAGTATACGCGTAGGATATAATACAGTAATGTCAACTTGCGCCGATTTCAAACAACTGGACAGGAGACGACTTTGGCACCGCGCCAAACGCAGCCACACTGACACCGCCCCACCGGTCCGCAATGATGAGGACTGTAACTTTCTAGCACCCCTCTCGCTTGCGTAGGTAATGGGAAGTGGCAGGGCTGTGGAGAAAAACGGTCCACGATCCCTCAAAATGGCTGCTCCAATCTCGTCTAAGTGAATCAAACCGTTAACTCCCTCGAATCCGCTAATATTTTCCGCGTTTGTGTCATTTTCGATGCGAAGGAGGAAAACGCTGACATATGCACCGGTTGGTCGGTGTAGACTCCTCTGAATGGGTCGAATGAGTAATAATAAGCCATTGCGAACCTGAATGCAAGTGAAATGCATGGTGTATCCCAGAGGAGATCGCTGAACGCCAAATGTTCTCTTTTCTGCTTGTGTTAGTTCTTGTGTGCCTTTATGAGGTTGGTAGATGGAACTTTATTGAATTGGCCTGGCGTTTCCAACTGATCGTCGTCTTCGCAGCCTAATAGTTTTTTTTTCATTTTTTTTTACTAGAACTTCTGAGAGAGTCTAAGGTTTTTTGTACAGAGCACCAGTTGCTTCAAAGGAGAAAATTTGTCCACTTACAATTAGTCTGCTTTTAACAGACACACCAGATCGCGCTTTGTAAAGAAGGTCAAGCCGAGCCATGCAGTACAGCTGATGGCCATCCTTCTGCACCAGTATAGCCCGGACATCGCTTGTTCCGACTGCAAGGATGACATTCATAGTGCCCGAACACTGGCAAGGATCCCGCAATATCCCGAATACTCTTGATCTTCTTCTTTTCTCTAAAAAAAGGTTTAGCTTCAAAAATAAGACAGCACGTTCCTGCCAACCTATTACAGGCCAGTGTTTTCATATTCCTAGACAAAGTGCTACCAATTACCGCCCCCATAGGGTAAGTGGCTCGGTGGGCCCAGACAGGAGCCGATCCAGGAGTTCATCACCGTCTCGCCACCGCGTCCGCCCCTATGTGGCCGTGATCGATAGGAACAAATCTCTGCAACGTAAAGAAATGAAGAAACCTGTCGCATTGGAAGGTGTTATTGTCAACCTCATCGTTTTGGTAGATGTCATGTGCAGAAGTACATGTCATTTTCGAGCTTCTACTGCGGGGCCAAAAAAAGACACTTTGGCCGAGTCACATATCAGTAAATTTTACGCAGCCTAGAGAGAAGACGTGGATACGACCAGGGCGGAAGATACCCAAGATGTTCCTCGATAAGCAGGAGCAGGCTCTCGTCCATCACCTTCATGTACACCAAAAAT